AATCTGAGCAGCTGTAAACCTGTGAAAATGCGACAGTCTCTGTCAAATTTAATGCTACTTAGAAGAAGGGAATTTGTTATGGAAGCAGGCTCTGGATCCTCTCTGGTGTTTTTTTATTATCTTTGTGGTCATTAAATGGGTCTGAACTGCAGTGAGCTGCTGCTGTGCTTTGGAAGGATGTGGATTCCTGTCTGGTTTGCAAAGCCATGTCTTAGCAATATAAGGACACCCTGTACCACACAGACATGACCATATAGCCGACTCAGAAGATTAACAAGTCAGTATGTGACTGGAAAAACACTCTTCTTTGCATCTCTCTGGAAACATCTTGAAAGCTTTCCCAGGGGGCCTCTACCTCTAACTGGGGGTATCCAGTGCTCTGCTAACTGTCCTAATATTCATTTAGGAATATACAAATAAAGGACTAGAAGAGATGTCCTCAGTCCTGCTATCATAGGAACCACTTCATATAACTATGGAAGTAGTTATGTTTTTGCCCCCTCACTTCTACTGGGAGGCTGTTTCAACACGTCCTTGTTCTGCTAGTTACAAACCTTCTTCTAGAGGCTAATGGAGTATTCTGAACACAACTGAGTCTAGTTAGCTGCAGAGGGTGGCATTTGCTGAGACCTCTTGATTCCCTCCATGAAGTAAGTTGCAGATACACAGACAGATGGTTCTTTGGACTCTTTCTTCCAATTGCCATTAAAGCAAAGGTTTTCTCAGTTGTTAATAAGACTAAAGGAAGGTCCAGATCCAGCTCCAATTGCAGACTATGAGCCTTTCCACTGGCAGGAGATGGATTGGGCCCAAACAGCCCATCAGTATTTCCAAATGCTGATGCGTCTCAGAGAAAGTCTGCCAAGAGCCAATATAGCAAGTACTGTAAAGACAGAGGAGACGATGGAAATCTACACAAAATGCCAACACCTCAGAAGAGTCCACAGCAGGAAGCCATTTGCAAAGGGAGAGAGGGTCATTAGCTGAGAGAAACAGTGTAACTGTTTGCTGAGCACTGTGATTATTACACAGTTTTCTAAAAGAGGAGTCTTTTCTGGTAAACATCTGGGAGATAGGAAAGCTGCAGTTAGGCTGCCACGTGTGGGTCGTTCTACTTGCATGCCAGTTACCCTTGGATGATAAAACCTTGACACTGAAGTGCATCTGGACTAAACCAGAGAAAATGATTTTGAGGCAAATCGGTCTGTTTGCCTGGCTTCTTTCTGTTTGTCAAACTGTCTCTGTCTCCCTCTGTTGCTTGCAGGGCTGAATTGCACCAAGGATATACAGCAAAAGTAGCACAAATCCCCATAGTTGAGGCTCTCTTTGATGAAGATTCTGTGTTTTTTGAGCATTCAGTGTTTTTTACTTCATCCCTTCTGAGATCTCTCTTTTGCAATGACTTGCAGTGAAGTAGTATGGTCTGCCTTTTTTTTTTCTCCCCAAATGTTCCTATTAATAGCTTTCAAAATCTGGCAAATCTGGAGACTGAGCATAGCGTAATGTTAGAATGATGTATGCAACTGTATTGTAGTGGAGCCTCTGAGCTGCAGTCAGGGCCCCACTGTGCTTGGTCCTGTACAAAGCGCTAAGTAACAAGCCATCCTTGCTCCAAAGAGCTTATCATCTAGGCCAGTGGGGCCAACCTTTTTTGGCAGGTGTGCCACAAATTAGCCCTGTATCTTCCCCAAGTGCCACTCCAGTCCCCTTCTCTTGCCTCATCTGCCGCTCTGCTTTCTGTTCCCAGCCCTGTGCTGCCTGCCTGATATACTGCTCTGGTTTCTTCTTTCTGCCCTCTCTGGCACTCTGCTGCCTAACCCTTTCAGGATCTGCTACATGCCACACACACAGGCTGCCTGTACTAACTGTGGCACCCATATGATAGGTTGGCCCCCCAATGTAGGCAATGAAGAGTATTTAGAAACTGAAATGAGCCATGAGCCAATAGGAATACGGACAACTTCAGTGACACCATCCGATGATTCAAAACAATCCAAAGGAATAAATCAAACCACCTGTAAGTCCCACACCATGCTGTGCCCATGTTATGAGCTGTGGGAATCTTGCTGGAAAATACTGTAGCCTTTTATATACAGGGCAGGCTCCTTTACCCTCAGGGAAAAAAACAGGCTGTCCTTCCTCAAAAGAAAGATTCAAACCATAACCTACTTCTAAGTAAGTAGTTGACTACTTCCTGGGTTATGCTGTAAGCAAATTGTTGCATCTTGTCTCAAAACTGTGTTCAGTCATATCCACTATGTGCACCTCCTGTTATAACACCTGCCATTTCTATACAGCCTTTTAGCATGTATGGTATCCATAATTCGCTGGATGAGTCATTCCGCAGAAGGGAGACCATATATTCCTGAGATAGAGCTTGAGGGTGTGGGCTCAATAGTGGGGCTCTTCTGACCAAGTCAAGTTGAACCAATGTCTCCAGCAAAGTATGAAGGAGTGCTGTGCTACTAGACATGCCACATTTTAGATGAGCCATGAATATGGTCATGGATGATAGTGTGATGTTGTTTGGTAAAATGAAAGGTTTATTAATTCAGACACCAGGCCAAAATCTATTTTATATTACTGAAGGCCTGTTTTTTTCCTGCAACCTCAAGCATTATCTCGAGCACTTATGTCCCCTATCATGACAATGAACCTAACACCACACTTCTTCAGTCTCTCTTGACCTGTCTTTGTAGCTTTGCTGCATATTGCTAAATAGATAGCATGGTCCAGCCCAATTGTGGCTATATCTCAGTATTGAATTACATGATCTCTACAAGTAGGATGTCCCTTTCCTGTTTTACTGAGGTCATGAGTTATACTTGGTTAATATCTACAACACACATGTAATTCCTGAAATTGAGAGACCCTAGAAAAGGTCAAAAGATGATTACAAACTGTGTGTCTTGGATTCCATATGTCATTCACATAAGGCATAAAAACTTATCTGAAATGTGCAATAATCCTTCAAGATCATTTTATTGTACAGAAACCTTTGCTTCTGATTGGAGAATTCAACTACAGCTCCTGGCCTCAGCTCGCTTCGCTGTTAGCTTTTTTCAGAAAGTCTCTCACAGGCCCAAGGTGATGGTATGCCATTTCCCAATCTATTTAGTCTTTACAAATGCATACTGGCATTTTTCACCAGTGCATTTACCTCAGAGAAGAGTGACTTAAACCAGTATAAAGTTGCATGCATGGGCAGATATCAAATTTCAGAAAGGAGGGGACAGATGGTGAGATGCATCATCGTATATAAAACAACATCTTTTTATCCAGTTAAAAATAAACTAGAAGCTTTACCAATATGTTAGGGGCCAAGAACTGGATTATTCAGTTTAAGGTTGAAGCAAAAAAAAATTTCATTGGAATGATTTTAAAACTATCTGTAAGGCTGTGAATTAGGAGCTTCTTTACCAGGGGTAGCTAATAGACCACAGCACTGCAGAACAAAGGCTAGCTTGACTGGTAGAACATCAAGACCATTGCAAAGGAGAGGGGGTCATTAGCACCTGTAGAATGAGGTGTTTAGAAGAGATCAAGTAGATGATAACGAGGCATGAAGTCAAGGCACTCCCTCAACACTGCCTGACTTGAAATGCTGCTGTCACTGCCAGGCAGTTGGTTTTAAAATTTGGGTAGAACAGGAATCAAAGCGGGTGGAGAAGAGTCCCTGTCCCCCCACTGGAACCGCTTCTGCCTGCAGGGGACCAGGATAATTTACACGGGCGTAACATCCGGTACACACTACTCTAATATTAATGCATCTGCGACCTTTGGGAAGGATCTAGGGATCCTTATGGGCAAGCAACTTAACATGAACTCCCAGTGTAATGCTGTGGCAGCAAGGGGCTAGCACACTCCTGAGGGATAGAAGCAGGGAGATTTTATTTCTGTAGCAAGCACGTGTGAGATTGATGCTAGAATAATGTATCCATTGCAGGTAGGCCTGGACCCAGGCATGGGCAAACCAGGTGGCTACGCAGGGCCTAGATAGAAAGGAGACCTGAAAATGAAAAAAAAAAAATTACAATTGCAAAAGTAAGTGTTAATATTGCACATATACAGCACTGGCAATGTTATCAGTTGAGAACAAACTATTTAAAGACATTGATACCACAGACGTGATAAAGACTTTTGCAACAAAAAAATCATCTCTGGCAAAGGCGATACTAAGAGTTTGCCCGGGGCTACCAGGAGTCTAGGTACGGCAGTGACCGCGGGGGTCTGACAGCCGCAGCTCCACGCGCTGCAAGCGAGGCTGGCGCACAGCAACGCCGGACTTTCGAGGGGCGACGTTTCCCTGGTTACAATTAAGATTTTCTTGTCTTGGAGAGGTTTCTGAATGCGTCAAAGTCACTATCTTGCTTATGGACAGCGCCTTCCCTGGCAGATTGCACAGCTTTGTTCTCTTACAAAATCTGAAACGTTCATTTCTGAAGGGAAATATTTCTTTCATTTCAAAGTTTACATCATTTCTTTTTCCTGCTTTAGCAATAGCGGCAGTTGGGTTAAACCAAAGATACAGCGAGGCGGAGGGATGGGGAAAACTTGCGGCTCAAGCAAGAACAGGACCGCGGGGTCAGGCTGAGACAGCAGCGGCCCGCTCTTCTCAAGTTAGCAGGAATTCGAGGAGCCGGGCGCCCTAAGAGGAGAGGAGCCCCTACTCTCCACTCCAGTCAAACAATTAACGTCATAAACATGGTAAATAAATATCAGGAAATAAGTTTATTCCCATGATCAGGGTGGCACGGTTGGCTTGGCTTTGCTTTGCTCTAGCGGACGGCCGGATCTCGAGTATCGACATTGCATGGCAGTGGGACGCTGGCGGCCTCTGGCGCCGCACTGAGCCCCGCCAGCTGC